AATTGACCTATTATTCGGGAAGAACACCGGAGAGACATGCAGAGAACATACAAACGCCACGCAGAAAGATCCTGGGTGTCCTCACCGGGACACGAACCGGCAACCTTCTTGTTGCGAGGCAACGGTGCTAACCACCGCGCCACAACTCAACTCAACATTGACACAACTCAATTCAACAATAACCAGTCGAATTGTAAAAGGTTAAGATCATATTATGATCATATATTGTTTATTATACCGCATACAAAGAAATGTTTCACACTCTGGCTCCAAATGAACTTTTCTTTTGTTGAAGATCAACAATCATAGCAGGAAACAGACATCGGAATGTGATCCGGGATGTGATAGTGATCAGATCATAATCTTCCACCACTAGGATTAGAACAGACTTGAAAATCAAGATGCACTCAGCAAATCAAAACTTTACAACAAACATGTCTCACATGACATACAAAGCTTTAGAATTTACATTCAATCTTTTGATTTCACAATGTTAAAAATGAATCAAATTTGAATAAATTTCTGATCGTTACACAGAAAGTTAAACATCCATTCATGCATCCAATAATTATACGACGCTTAAGGGTCACGAGGGGCGACTCAGGGCGACTCAGGGCGACTCAGGGCGACTGCAGGCACGTAAAACATCAGCTAATAAAATGTTATTTCATATATCCATTTGACGAAACTACAGAAAACCAGTAGAAAATGTTTACAGCAAAATGTTAAAGGTACACCCTCCTCATCCAGCTTCTCCTACTATTTTTTTTAAAAGTACATTTTAATACCCTTTGATGATGAAACATCACTGTTTTTTAAAGCAGGAAACCATAACCAGTTTTATTACAATCAGCACAGTTATACTTTGTTATTGTGTAACAACATTACTGAGTCTTATGATCAAACCGGTAAGTAGTAAATCACAGTGTATATACTGAGTAAATTAAGTCTCCTGTTAGCACAAAAAGTTCTTCCTCCTTATTACATAAAGTCATCTGTTTTTTTTACTTGTACTGGTACACAGAAAGAATTTCATCTAACCACACATGTTCTAAATAATGACTTAATAAACTGCAATCACATACAGTGGTGAACAAAAGTTTACCAACACTTGGTCATCTGGAAATATGATTAAAAAAACAACTGCTGAGTCGGAAATATACATACAGCAACTTGAATGATGAATGATCTGTTTTGGTGATGTAGAAAATGTATTAATCAAATAGCAGCATGGCCTCTTTACTTTTTTTTGAGCAAGACCAACTAGCTACAGCTGCTGACGTCTCTGAGCCAATTTAAACATGGCCCATTTGATACACTCATCAGGCTCAGCCCCAAACACTTCAGTGGCAAAATCTAAGGAGCTCAGCACAGATCTGAAAACGCATGTCACTGACATGTCAGGAAAGTCAATTGGACACATTTCAAAGCAACTACAGATCCCAAAATCATTTGTGCAAACATTTGTTTGTAAGAATTTAGTGCATGGTACAGTTGTGTCACTGCCACAATCAGAAAATAAATGCAAGCTGTCACCTACTGCTGAGAGACAATTGGTCAGGATGCTCAAGAGACAACTAAGAATCACCAAAAAGCAGGTTGGCAATGAAGTAGAAGCTGCTGGAACAAAGGTGTCAGTGTCCACAGTCAAGTGTGTTTTACATTTCCATAGAGAGGCTGCCTTGCAAGACAGAAGCTCTTTCTATAGAAGCAGCACCTTGAGGCTTGACTGAAGTTTGCTGCTCATCACATGGAAAAAGTCTTCCAGAGGAAAGTTCTGTGGTCAGATGAAACAAAAACCGAGCTATTTGGTCACAATGGCCAGCAATATGTTTGGAGGAGAGAAGGTGAGGCCTTTAACCCCAAGAACACCATACCTACTGTCAGGCATGGTGGTGGCAGTATTATGCTCTAGGGCTGTTTTGGTGCCAGTGGAACTGTTGTGTTATGCAAAGTAAATGGACTAATGACGAAGGTGATGAGCTCCAAATTCTTCAGAAAACCTAAAATGATCAGCCAGAAGGTTGGATCCTGGATGCAGTTGGATTTTCAAGTGGGGCAATGACCCCAAACCCCAAAAGTAATTTAAAATAAAAACTTTCAAAAAGGGTATAATTAAGGTTTTTGACCTTCTCCTGCACCAGTTCTGTCATGAGGAGTGGGAAAATATACAACCAGAAGCTCATGGATCGCTAAGCAACTGTTAACATTATTGTAAGTATATTTTTGACCCAGGAGATTTTGACATATTTTCAGAAGAATCTATGAAAGCGCCAAAATGTTTTATGTTCTAAAGAAACATGTTTCAATGACTCCATCATAGAAAATAAAGAGTTATAGAAGTCATTGGAATTTCAAAACTGCCATGATACACATGACCTTTATAACTATATCAAAACTTTTGTTCACAACTGAAAGAAATCAGTGTCACAATTAGACTGGATCACATTAGATTGTACAGGTGTGCCAAATAAAGTTAGCATTTCAGATCAGGATCATGTAAGCTGTTCCACATCAGATATAAATCAAGTGGAAGGAATCTGTGAACAAGTAGAATATCTCTAAAAAAACAAGGGTC